ACCAGATAGGCCTAGTGGGAACCCACTTGCAACACCTCCTCCTGAAACGAGACACAGCTATTTAACTGAACTGACCTATTCTCAGGACTAAGAGATAGGTACAATGAGATAGAGCAATCTACCAACTCGAATTCTAGACTGTGAAACTTCTTGGAGAGATTTCAAAGGTGGGGAACAAAGGGTAGCAAAATATCTCTTTTTGGCATAGGGATTATTTTGAGCTGATAGAGTGGTTTCAGATAATAGAATTGCTTTAGATTACTTGTGGGCTGAACAAGGAGTCTGGACCATAGCAACTACCTCCAGCCGTACCTGAATCAACACCTCTGGTAGAGTAGAAACTCACATACAAGAAATTAACAAACAGGCTATTTGGCTAAAACAGGTTGATGCCTCTTCAGGTACATTCTTTGATTTATTTGATACCATTGGTTTGGTTCTGGGGGGCCCTGGCTAAGGAGCATACTTCAGTCTCTTGGATTAGCCCCCTGACAGTCATCACTGTAGTCTCCCTGGTGTGCTGTGTTCTCTGAAGCATCTTAAACACATGTTTGAAGCCATCAGCAGTACATCAGATGGTCTCACCGTGCTTGGAGAAACAGAAACAGGACAAATGGCAAAAAGAATTCTTCTACAGCCTGACATAATAACCTACGAATTTCACGATGAGACAAGAACAACTTAACCCCGAGGGTGACAGAGTGGCAGTCACATCCAATTTTTGTTCAGTCTCTCCCATATGAGAGGATGACCAGAGAGGGGGAATTGTTACCGTAATTAACAAGGAGTCCATTAGACTGAAGCCCTAAAGCCTTGGTAGCCTCTGCAAGCAATTGAAACCCAAGCCAGGGTCAGTGTACTTGAAGAAAATGAAACTTACGAACAACCAGTCACAAACAGCCAATGAGCCTTTCCTCAAGAAGAAAACTGCTTAAGCTGTGGCCAATCAATTTTCTTGCTTTGCTTCCGCATCTTTTCTTCCCCAGCTGCCGTCAGTGGAGCACTCCTAACCACCTTCAATTTGGCTCTGCCCAATCCAAATTGAGGTATGCTCCAAATAAACTCTTGAAATTTTTAATGTGCCTCAGTTTACCTTTTACCAGCTATGAGTGGCGGGGCTAAGATTCTTTGTTGTTTAAAATTGTTTTTAAATTGTGGAAATAAAGCCCAAAGAGCGTTGTGTGACCTATCAGTCCTGCTGGGGCCTTGTCTAACGCCTGCCCAGGGCATCCGGCTCTCCAGGGGAGCAGAACTGAGCAGAACAACCGATTAGGACCCAGACGTTTTACAAGCCTGTAAAACTGATAAGATGCGATGATTTCCTCTTCTCTCTGGCAGAGAAGATAACCCCACTGTGGTGGTTTCACTGCCGTGGATCTTTCTTAGTTTCACATCTAACCGAGCCGTCATATCTCAGCGTTCCTTCTCTTTCCACCCTCTCTCACTGAATCAGCTTTGTCATTCTGCTGGTTCCCACACTAAGGACTTCAATAGAACCTTGACACACACTCACTGTCTATTTGTAGGAGAATGATATTTTTAACACACGGAGAATGATGCTTTGACAATTCAAGCCAGTTGTGCGCAAGTTTGTCTGTAACCTTGGGTCTCTGTTGCCTCCATCTGAAGCCCTCTTTCCTGGCTCCTGGCCCCTCCCTGTCTCTGCCCCATGCCTGCCTTGTCCCTGGGAGCCTGGGGCCTAGGCATCTGCTACAGGGTGGGTGAGTGGCCCAGAAGATGGCTCTCTCCTGTCTGGATGTGGACTCCATGTCTGGTATCCAGGTGTTAAAATGACTTTTCCTGTAGAGTTTTGGCAGAGGTCCCAACGGCCAAGACCTGCTATGCAGGCCACTCTAAGGGACTGGGAAACTGGCTCTATGACTCACCCCTCCTCACCCTGCCAGAAGGCAGAGAAGAGAGAGGTTGGTGAGGCAGAGGAAAGGAATGTCTTTGGAAAGGCCTGTCGGTGCGCTGGGGTGTTTTCCCTCCTCCCAACACCAGGGGGGCTTCAGTCCTCCATCCAGTTGAGGCCTTCTGGGAAGCCTGTGGGGGTCTGGGCATGTGTCCCTGGAGTGTGGGGGATGTAGGGCCAGGTGGGTCTGACCCACACCTGTAGGAGGTTAGGGTGATGGCCGTCGCTACACTGGCCAGGGGCAGCCAGGGTGAGGGCAGTGTACTGGACACGCACCCAGCGATGGTCATGGAGGCAGAGGATTGTTTCTGCAGAGCTCCCTCAGACCCTGTGAAGAGAGCTGGGGGAATCCATCTTCAAAGTCCCATCCTGCTCCCAAAAGACTACCTGGGGAGGGGACGTCTCAACAGTTGGGAGATGAGGCTAAAGGGTATTATCGTGAGCGGTCCACAGGAAGCGGCATTGGCATGGCCCCAGAGCCAGTGGGGAGCAAAGCGAAAAGGGAATGGAGTTGCCTAGGACCCTGCCCACACTCTGCCTTCCTTCTCCACCCTTAGGCTTGAGATGAGTCGGGGGAGGGGGATCCCCAAGTGAATGAGGGTCCGGAATTCTGCTATTGAGCCAGAAAGGATACCAGAGTACTCACTCACTAACAACCAAAAGATGACCACAAGATCTGCACCGAATTTCACCCAAAGGGCAGGGGAGATCACTTTCACAGAGCGGACTGGGAGGGTTAGAGGCGACAAGGAATCGCGCGTCCCCCCCCGGCTTGTTCCGTACATTGACATTGAGTGCTTGTGTTTTTAGCAGCCGCCCACATTGTTCTCAGCCGCATCTCGGGGTTCATACCCAGACTGCTCTTGGCCTCGTGGCTCCCGGCACCCAGGCAGCTCCTACCCGCCCCCCACCAGTCTGAGGACCCCAAAACCAGCATCCGCCCAGAGCTGGAAGGAGCTCAGAGGGAGACAAGCAAGCTCTTTGGTTGTGTCGGATGAGGGACCTGAGGCCCAGGAGGTGACGCCCTTAGGTGACACAGACCTGCGGTATCCTCCCTCCCCTTTGAGACAGACTGAGACAGAGACATGCAGAGGGAGCGAGAGAAAGCGCCCGTGAGCCTGCAAGCATATCAGGCAGGTAAAAAGATTTGAAAAAGGTGCATGAAGCTACCAGACAATAGAGAGTCCTGTTATTTGAAACTCCAGTAAGCAAGGGCTCTCACTGACCCTCCCAGCCACCCTATGGAGCAGGACCTATGTTGTATATCTCCACCGAGACAGATGAGGAGCCGAGGCCGAGTGTGGTCAGGAGAGATGTTAGTAGGAGCAGCTAGTAGGGTCACGGCCAGCGGCTTGGTGACTCCAGGCACATCCCTTGCCACTGGACCTGGCCCGCAGATGTCTTTCTTTGAAGAGAAGCAGCCCAGGGCCCACCATGTTCAAAGTTCCATCCTCCCCAACATGACCGCCTGGAAAGGGGCAGTCTCAGCAGCTGGTAGGCAGGGCTAAGGGCATCATGGGCAGAGCTAGGATCTCCCTTTCTTTAGAAAAGCCTGCTGGTGACCCCGGGCTCCCAGGGGAGCCCCCCAGCAACATTGGCCTGAGTCCCCCCTAGATGCGCTTGAGTTTGCACCCCTGCTTTCAACTCCCGCCCCATCTGATCTCCCTCTGCAAATCTTCATTATATCAGAGCACTGTCTTCTTATTCCTAGAGATATATTGTTGCTTTTGAGTATTTTAAACCATTATTATTCGACCGATTTGAGATGATTGATTATATGCTCAATTTTGTGTGTTATTCTTCTTAAATGTTATTCATTAATTTGACAAGTATTTATGCACCAGGCTCCATGCTAGGCACTCAGGACAGGGCAGGGAACAAGATGGGGACAAGGCCTCTGTCTCTGGAGAGGGGGACAAAGGTCAGGCTTTTCCAGCCCAGCCCTGCTCAGCCTTGGCACATTGTCCCTCAGCATCTATGAGCATCTTTGGGCAGCATAAGAGGCTTTTAGCTTTGGCTAGAAAGCCAACATGTCACATGTCTACACTGACTCATCTTTATGTGTCAGGGATTTAATTTGATGTCTCTTTAGGGAGTCACACGATTTCTTTAGCCCACTTCCCTTCACATGCCTCTAACAACAGGATAGAGCAAAAAGGCCCGGAGGCCCCAAGCTGCTGAGGGTCTCTCCTTCCAGAGTCTGAAGCTCCTGACACCTCTTCCCAGGGCATCCTGCCAAGGAGACGCCAGGTCCCAACATGCAGGGGCCCCTCTCCCTATGCCTGCCTCCTGGTCCCCACGGCCTAGCCTCCATCTTGGTCCTTCTCAGCTCTTCAGCAGCTTCCCCAGGAGGGCGGGAGGCAGAGGAGGCAGAGCAGAAGTGGGACCTGGCCTGCTGTGGAGTCGCTGCCACACTGGGACCCTCCCCAGGTCTAAGCCTGAGAGCACAGGCTCCAGCCGAGCCCCCTTGTGTCCCTGACGGAAATTCCAGTTGGTTGGTTTCTACCGATTTTGAAAGATGGCTGTCACTGACTGAGCACGTTGTATACACCAGTCTTTCCTGACAAGTGGTGCCTCGGTGCGCACCTGGGATCCAAACCCGAGCCGCCAACAGGGGAGTGCGCACATTTAACCGCTACACCATGGGCCCGCCCCTACACCGGTCTTTCCTGACACTTGCTCCTTTCGTTTAATCCTCTCTGCAGATTCACATCTGTCTTTGATGGAGGAGAGTGGTCCCCAGTGAGGGAGGGAGGAGGGGAGAGGGCCAGGGCAGTGGAATCAACGTGCACAAGGCTGGTGGGCAGGCCTGAGAGCCTCCTGCTGCCCCCTAGCCTGGGCTGGGCCTGAGTCCATGCACCCTGGAGAAGGAAAGCCCCCCTCACCTCCTTTCCCTCCCCAGGCCCATGAGTGGGGGAGCCCTGGCTTGGCACTCACTGCCCGCAGGTCACAGTGTAGGGTTCCAAGAATGGGGGGCCCTTCCAGGGCCAATGCCCCCCTGGTCATCCCTACCCAATTCAAGATGGGCACTGTTCCGAGCCCCAAACCTGCCCCTTCCTGTCCCCGGTCCTGCTGAAGCAATCCTCACCTCGAGCCAGGTTTCCAGAGATGAAACGGAAGAAGAAGCTGATGATGTCACCCAGGTGTTTCTTGCAGCCATGCTGGCACTCCTGCAGCCTCAGCCCAGGTCCCCGGGCTGGGTGAGGGGCCTCGCCGTGCCCTGCCATCCCTGGGCCTGGCCTGATCCCAGGGGTTCCGGCTCCTGCCCTCGGTTCTGCCCGATCAGCTACAGTGCAGGCCACCGCCCACCTGCTCTGTCCCTCCTCTGCCTGCCTCTCCCCAAGCTGACACTCAGAGCCTTTCTACAAGAACTCTCTTTTTCTCTCTCTCTCACTTCTGGGCTGTGTCTCGTCTCTCAATCTCAGCCTCTCTCCTGTCCCTCAGTGTCTCTGCCTTTGGCCTGTCCTTCCCTTCCCTGTTCTCTGTCCCTGTCTCCTGTTCTCTCTGCCTTTCCTAGGACTGCCTGCCCCTCAGCCCTCAGCCTAGAGCCCCCAGGGGCTGGCCAGTGCCCTGCCAGCCCCACTGCCAGGGCTGGGCCTCCTGGAGCAGCCCCTGCTCCTGCTCCAAGGCGGGCCCCTTCCTCCGGCACCTGGCTCTGGCTCCTCAGGACCCCGGAGCTCACTCTTCCTGGAGGCAGAAGGCTTCCTGCAGCTTCCTGGGCTGGGAGGGTGGGGGTGGGCATTGCTCCTGAGCTCCCAGCACCAACGGAGGAGGTGCCACTGGTGTGATTTTCTGCTGAGGGTGTGATCTCGCTGCAAAGGGGCCTCATCTGTGTCCCGGGGCTTCTCTGCAGCCAGAAAGGGAGCAGCCCTGCTCCCACCCAGCCCCCTGCCTAGGAGGCTCAGGGGCCAGGTGCCCTGGGCAGAGCTGGGGGGTGGGTGGGGCCCTGACCTTTGGCTAGCTCTTGACCCCTGGCCTCTGCTCACTGACCCAGTCCCCCAGCCCTGTTTTGCCTCTATAGAGTGGAGAGCGGGGAGTGAGGGAGGGGTCCCTCTGATGAGGAGCATAAAGGAAAGCCAAGTACACGCCTGGAGCAAGGACTGCTGATCTCTCCCCTGCCCCCATGTTTATACTACACGCTAATGTGTGCCAGGCAGCTTGCTGAGGTCCTTCTGGGCACCAGTGCATTCAGTCACCAAAACAACCTACGAGGTACGTGCGGCAGAGAATGCCACGTCAGTATTCGTTCTCCTCTGCTTTTTCACCTACAGAATTCAGATTTTGTTGGAAATGGAAATGTGCCTAGCTTAAAAAACTGCCATTGCCCTGCCTTCCTTGCAGTCAGGGTGCCTCAGTTCTCGACAATGAAAGGTAGGCGTAAATCTTCTGGAGATTTCTGTGGGAGATACAGGCCCTAGCACTTCCTCTTTTCTCCTGATTTCTCCTTCCTCTTGCCTGGAACAAAACCACGATGGCTGGAGCCAAAGCAACCACCTTGCAACTGTGAGGGAAAGGGCAAAAAACCCAGAGACCTTGACTCTGACATTCCCAAGTTGCTAAACTAGTGCCAGTCACTGCCTAGCCCAGATTTCTCATAGAGGAGATACATACCTGTCTAAATTAAGCCACTGTTATTTGCAGTTTCTGTTATATGCAAGTGCAGTCCAGTCAAAATATTCTCCCCGAAGTGAGAGAACTGTTGCACCTTGCAACCCTGACCAGTAAAAGAAAGTGCAGTGTCTGAGGGGCCTTCCCGTGTACCACAGGTAAGCGCGCTGCTCCAGACGGATTCCTGACCGAAGGCTGTGCAGCAGGTCCAGGCTGACCACAAGCAGCTCTTCCTGATGACTCAGCACATTCAGTGGCCCCCAGTGTGTCTAAGGCAAGTTCGGATGCTCTGCCCAGGACAGGCCCCAGTAGGAGCATTCCATGGTCTCCTCGGGTTTTGAGCAAAGCCATGCGTTCTTTGGCAAAGATCACTTCTTTCGACATACTGGGCTCTCGTGGAGATGGAATGCCTAACTGTAGGATGCCAGGTGGCCCTAGACCCGAGCTGTCCCTCAGGACTGAGTATCAACCTCTCCCCCTCGGCTCTAAAGGCGTGTGTGTGCAGCACTTCATTACCACGTACAGGTGCTGTGTATGAGCTCACAGTTGGGGGTCTAGAAGGCTCAGGTAGGTCTACAAGCTGGTGGCTCAGGCCCCCATGATAAGTTGCTTTGCCACCTTCCCCTCAAGCCACACCTGTGGCCCTGTGGGGCGTCCCCAAGACCTCCTCCTTGAGGAGGAGAAGCGTTCATATGTAATTTACAGACAGAGCTGCAAGAAATCTTGGCACCAACTGTGAGCTAACACGGCAGCCCACCCAGGGGGAAGGGTAGTGGGGAAGGGAAATCTTCCTGGTGGGCAGCACCCAGCACGTTGAGAACGTCTGCTTGCCCATGTTGCCTGGAAGGAGAGACGGCCTGAGGTACAGATTTACACGGACTCATGGGTGGTGGCTAACCATTTGTTCAGGGGTCGGGGAGGTGGAGGGAACAAGACTGGAGGAGTGGTGACTAGGAGGTGTGAGAGTGTCACTGCCCTTTGGGGGTGTTCTCCAAAGGGCACCAGTGCGAGGAGGTGGCCAGTAGTCGGGTGGACAAGACAGCCTGTCTGTGCACGTCAGTCAGCGGTATTCCTGTCCCCTCGGCACTGTCCGTCAACAAAGTGCAGCGGTGGCCTGAGATGACTTAGGGGTCCAACAAAAGAACTTCCCCTCACTGGGCTGATCTGGCTACAGCTGTTGCTGAGTACCCAGCCTGCCAGCAGTGACCAGCCCGCCACCAGGTGGCAGGTCTGCTACGTTGTATTTCTTCCGTCTCTCTGGACTGGACATTCTGGATACGGACCTTCCTCCCTGCTCGCCCTGCTTCTGCCAACACCACCATCCATCACAGTGTCCCACACATCGCTGTTACTGGCCAAGAGGCTCATGTAACAACAAAGAAGTGTGGCCATAGGCCAATGCTTCTAAGACCCACTGGCCTCACCCCGTTCCCCACGCAGAAGCAGCTGGCCTTACAGAACAACGGAAGAGCCTGCAGCAGACTGGCTCCAGCAGCAGCCCCAAGATTTAGAGGCTGTCCTGTCAGCCGCTGGATGTGCCACTGAGTATGCTGCTCCTTGTCCAGCCAGAATAACGGGTCCAGGAACCAAGGAAAGTCGTGGCAGTGGGTCCTCACACCAGCCCCCACCACCCCCTCAGGGCATTTTTGCTTCTCATCTCCAATACTTTGGGCTCCAGATTAGAGGTTTTAGATCCCAAAAGAAGAATGCTTCCCTAAAGGGGAGACACCAGGGGGTCTGCTGACCTGGAATCTGAGACTGCAGCTGGCCATTCTGGGCTCCTCAGACCGCTTAGACCAGCAGACGTAAAAGGGCGTTGGCCTCGGTGAATGATCCTGATTATCCAGGGAAGGAGGTGTTGCAGCTACATGGGGCTGGGGAGGGGGGCACCGTGTCTCAAATCTAGTGAATTCTCCAGGGAATCTATCAATATTGCCAAATACAGCGATAAAAGTGAGTGAGGGGTTATAGGCAAGGTGCCTGAGGGCTCAGATCCCTCAGAACTGAGAGTCTGGATCACTCCACCATGGACTCTTAGCTGAGGCCCCTGCCGTGGATTAAACATGGCCACAGATTTCATATCACAACTCCGTAAAAGGTAGAGTCTATTTCCCCTCCCCTTGAATCTGGGCTGAGCCTATGACTTGTTCTGACCAACAGCGTGCACTGGAAGTGATGCTGTGTGAGTGTGCAGCAGAGGCCTCAAGAGCTTCCTGCCTTTACTTATTGGAAGCCCCCTCTTGGCAGTCAGCCATCTGGTACCCTGAGACCACCATGCTGCAAGGAAGCCCAAGCAGCCCCTGGAGAGAGACCGGCACTAAGGCTCCAGACATGTGAGCGGAACCTTCTTGGACCTTCCACCCCAGCCCCCAGCTAAACAAAGGCACGTGAATAATCACAACTGATGCCACGTGGAATAGAATAACCGTCCAGGGGAGACCTGGCCAAATGCCTGGCCCAGAGCATTGTGAGAAAATAAAATGGCGGTTGTTTGAAGCCACTACAGTTGGGGGTATTTTGTTAGGTAACAAAAGGTAACCGAAGCGTCCCTCTCCCAACTTGGGGGGTTGGACTCAACACGCTCTCTCCAGAGAAATCGCCTTCGCAAATCACCTCCCCCAGACTCCAACCATTCAACTTTCTATACTTTTGATGAGGGTGAAAGCTTCAAGGGCCGTGGGACCAGTGTTCAGATAAATCCCCGAAAATTGGCATCTGATCTGGCATCTCACTTTGAAATAAGATGTCGAGTGCATCTTGGTGCTTCAAACATATTAAAATTCTATTAGCATACATTCATATGTCCTTGTATATTATAGACAAGTTAACTTACCTTTTTGTCCTCAGGTCTTTCTACTACCCCTTTTTATCAGGGTGCTGGTGGTGGTGGTGATTTATGATTTCACATGGGTTGACAGAACCCCAGGAGAAGTGAGTACCCAGAGATGGATGCAGCAGCTGACGGGAATTTGGGGGAGGGGGTGGGAGTGTGGCTGCTGCTCCAGTGTTCCTACTGGAACAGCCTGGGATGCGGGACGTTGCCCATAGCGACAGGCAGGGCCCTGGCTTGTCACCTCCAGGCCTCCTTCTCTGGTCCTCCAGAGTTTCTGTGAACTTCCCAACAGCCTAGAGTAAATGCCTCTCTGCTTAAACCAGCCAGCCTGGATTTAGTTGTCTGCCACCAAGACCCCAGGTTATTCTGTGGGTGACATTATTATCCCGGTTTTACAGTTGAAGAAACCCAGTCCCACAGCCCTCGTGGGGAGCCAGACTTGAGATGCAGGTCTGCGTGGTTGGTGGCTCAGCCATGCCCCTGGAGAGGTGTCCTGGCTTCCTGACAGGAAAGACTTTTAGATGCTGGGGAGACATGCAGAGCAGGTCAGAGTCCAGCCTCCGGGTCACTGAGGATGGACCCCCCCAGTGTTGGGGAGGAATGCATTTCTTCGCTGAGGATGCCTTTTCCTGGGTGGGGTGGGGCCATGCCACCTGCTCTGTGCTCCCCCACTCCTGGGCCCACCTGTCTTAGAGGCCACTGCTGCTGACCAGCTCCTGACTCCGTATTGGAGCCCTTACAACCCAGGAGGGACCACCAGGGCACAGCAGCAGCTGGTCCAGCCCTTGCCCTTGTAACTCCCAGCCCCTAAATTTCACCCACTTCTCGACGAGCTTGCCTGAACCTCG